AAAAAAAAAAAAAAAAAAAAGCAAGGAAAGAGGAAAAGTGTCTGGGATTTTAGCCTCATTCAAAAACTTCATGGTCCAGATTCATGAATCATGGAAAGCTATAGAAGGAGAGCCCTGGCCTTGTGTGCAATAGGATGTGCACAAACACATGCCAACATACATATGCATGACAAAGGAAATCCAGAGACCAGCAAAGCATAATGCATTCTTCAAGGGCCAACTTAGGAAGCAAGATAAAAAGCACAGGGAAAAGGCCAGATCCTGACATTCTTAGTCAAGATATGACTCAACATCTTAGCTGAACACTGGAGCCAAGGGAGGAGGGGAAGAACTATAGCCCCTCTAGGAAGAAGAGGGATTGTCTTTGGGTGCTCTGATGCTTAATCAAATGAAACTAAGCACATGAAAAATCTGGCTGGTTATCAAGAAACATTTCCTAGCAGAAAGAGATTTATTAGACTGTGGAATGATCTCCCCAGGGAAGTGCTTGAAGCTCTATCACTTGAGTTGTTTCAGATGAGGATAGGCAAAGCACTGGAGAATAGACTCAAATGCTAGAATGCGCCTGACCCCCTTATTCAACCCCCTCCTATTGGCAGTGGCATTTCACATCCTAAGCAAAGGCAGGACACGTCTCTTCGGCTGTTGCTAAACATCTAGGTCTACACTATTGTGCTTGGGCTGCAGATGCATTGTTATGGCCCACAGAGGTCTGTTTTTCTGATTCCACGTTCTTGTGCCTGGCTTGGGGTACTCTAAAGCTGCTTCAGTTCTCTGTGGATCCAAAGGTGGATGTGGGACAGGGACTGTCTGGACCTCTCCCCTCTACCCCGCTGGGACTCCGTGGTACACAATACCCTGGCAGCATCCAGCTTGTACCTCCTTCTCTTCACTCATGCATGAAATAGCACTCAGGCAGCCTCTAAAAACAGGCTTGTCTTGGTTGGACTGGGGCAAGGAAGCCTACAGGCACAGGACAGCCTGGTCCACTGTTCCATCCCCAAGCTCTTCATGTCTCTCAGCTATGAGGACATTCAACTCACTCATTTCAACCTCATTCTTACTTCCCCAATGGCAAGAATCTGGGAGGCTGTACTGACTGTGGAAAGGAAGGAGCTAAAAATGTCAGCTACATCTTTAGGGAAACATTATTACTGTCCTCTAGGATGCAGGAATCAATTCCATTTTCTTTGCAAAGCCCCGGTCACAAATACAGGAAAGGGTTTGGCAGAATCACCACACTCTAAACCGAATTGTGTATACAATTATTTGGGGAAAAGAAATTTCCTTCCTGAAGAGACATTATCTCTTGCACACTTATTCTTCAACTACCCCCTATGATGCTGCAACAGGATTCTGCTTACCGTGTCTTTCATAGGTTCTTTGGACTCCTAAAACTTTGAGATTAACAGAGTCACCCACAGAGCCGCTCAACAGTGAAGGGATGTCCTCAGAGGTGCAGAGGAGCCTGTCACTCTCACTAGGTTTTCTCACTTCCACATGTCCTGCTTTAGTTAACAGCAAGCTCAGACAGACAGGCTTATGCCCCTTCGGGCAATTCCAACACCAAGTCAGTCATGCCTGCTGAGACACGGGACATGGTGTTAAGAAGTGCTCAGGGTGTTAAGAAACATCAGCCTGGAAGGCCCCGGGCAGTGCCAGCGACCCACGTCAGCATAGGGACACAGAACAGCACCCACAGCACTGTCTGTAAAGCTGATTAGCAAGAGGTCCAGGTGATTAGAAATCATAAGTTGTATTATAAATTCTGTATTACACTACTTAGAGATTGTAGTATAGTGATTCTGCTTGTAGAAACCTTATGCTATTTTAGTAATAAATTCTGTGCTATAGTAATCAGAAAATTCTGTTAAGAAAATTAAGCCTTAAGTATGGGCATTCCTCGGAAACCCCATCAAGTTGACACTTGTAAAAGAACTGCCTTCTGCCTAATCCTGGAACACAAGGCAAAAAAACCTTCCACTTGATTATCCCTACTCAGTCTCCTTTGACCCATTCCAAAAGCCTATTCAAAGACCTTCCTGTTCTTCCCATGAAAATACTAGCTTTGAGACAAACACTGCCATTAACACGCAAATGTATCTGTGATTAACATATACAGAAAAAATGCCTCATGAATAATAGTAGGCTGGAACAATATCAACTACCAGTAGACAAGTTGCTGAGACATGACTAGTCAGGTACTAACAAAACCATTTCATAACAGAGCTCATGTTTCTAGACCTGTAAGATCCTCCTCTGCCTCCACCAAGTTCATCCATTCTCAGCATCCATACAGGATTGTCCTAGCCAGCTCTTGGACACTGCAGCCCAACTCACATCCTCCTGTCCTTGGTAGGCCTTTTCTACCTTTTCTTCCTTCCTGGGAGCAGACGTGGCTGCTCAGCTCCATGTCAAGCTGTAAGGGAATACAAAAGGACCTGCTGGGCTTTACCAGCATTGCTGGCTTCTCACACAACTGCTTTCTCCCATTTGGGGAAAGAAAGGAAAAAAGCAGATGGAAGCTGCAAGTGAGCTGTCAACTGGATCTCACTGCAACTTCAGGGAACATGGGGAGAGAACACTGAGTCTGCAGTTACAACTGCCCCAGAAAGGTTATGTCTTCAGTACGGTGGAGGAATGAACACGCAGCTCTTCGATTTGCCAAACCATCCCCTAATCAGGGACTGTGACGGTGCTCCAGGCCACTGCAGCTCCTGGGTCATGCCTGGCACCCTCCAGGACTGCTGATGCCAGCGGCTCCTCACCAGGATGGCCTCCTTGCACAGAGCCCAAGCCAATGCAGCCAAACCTGGTAACATGGGATTGGAAGGCAGGGGTCAGGGTGGGCCAGACTGTGGGTTTAATTCCCTCACCACAAGCTAACCCCTCCCCCTCAACATCCTTGTGAAGAAATTACTTCTTTGGAGAGGTACATTGCTTACTCCCAAAACAGGCTGAGGATGTACATACAAACTCATGCCACCAGGGAAGGAATCTCAGCCTCTCACTTTGTACATAACAGCATGAGGTGGGGCAGAGGAAACTGAAGGTGTGTAGAAACTACCGTACAATGGCCATCAGAGAACCTACATATCTCAACAGCCTTTTCTGGGCAGAACAGAGCACCTGTTCTGGACAGAACAGCCCATGAGCAACAACAGAGCATCTATGCAAAAAAAATGTCAAAATCAAAAGGATGTATTCATTTTGCTGCAGAAATCTTGCATTTAACAGCAAGTTAGTATCACACACATCTGACTAATACTACTGCTGCCCCCTCTAATTTCCATACCTAAGCAGATCCCTAGAATTTGTCTCCTGCCTAGAAGTTGATCTCAGACCACACAGTCTATATTTAAGATATCACCTGAAATGAAATACACAACTGCCTTTTTTGCCTTGGGCCCATTCTCCTCCTTACTGAGTTTGAAACCTTGCAACTCACTGGCAGCAGGTTTGGATGCAGTTCCTCGCATACAGAGACACATGGCATTCTTATGCTCAAGTCACAAAAAAGACACACTTCTTCAGCTTAATTCAAGTCAGCCCAGCCCCCACAGGCTTCAATTAAGTGTTTTCCTTTTTGTGCTGGAGTTGGATTTGGCCTTTTGTTTGAAAATAAGGTTGTTGTCCTCTTTCCTCTCTCTTCAGTCTAGAATGGTTTGAGTTACCAAGGTACTCAGTTTTCCTTACCCGTCCTCCTAAAACTGAGGCATCAGGACTGAATGTGACACACACTCTCCAGCATGCACCAACATATGGTCCCATCACGGATCATTTTAGGGCACAGTGGCCCAGGCTGAGCACCGACAGCTTTCAGGGTACTTACTGTAGGTTCCTTGCAGGTTGCTCTTACTTGTGCCAGGGAGTGGGGCTGCCATCACTCCCTCGGATCTTAAAGCAAACAACTCTATGAGTTCCCATTCCTGGCTGGAGTGGTGCTGGTCACAAGATCCCAAATACCTGCCAGGGTGGCGTAGAACTGCTTCACTGAAGGGAGCGGACACCCTGAACGTGACAGCTCTTCAAAATACAGCTCTCAAACACAAATAAGCACGGCTAAAGGAGCCTGCTCAAACTTTTCAGCATCCACTAAAGGTCCTTCAGCAAAGGAAAAACCCTTCATCCACCCCCAGCCTGACACCAACCAGGCACTCTCTATCCCCAAACGGCACTGACAGCAGCAGATGCGTGGCCAATATTCTTTGTTGTGCGGATTTTCAAACCGCAGTGCCGTACCCCTGCCGGGGGCGGCCCTAGCCGCGGGGAAAGGGGCGAGTGAGGGGTGGGCCCAGCAACCCACCGAGGGTCCAGGGCGACCCGCAGCAGCTTCGGTCCGCCCCACGCTGCACATCGGGACCTTTGTTGAGCCCCTCACAACCCGGCGCCAGGCCTCACGAGGCGGCCGAGGGGCCCCAGGAGGACTACGCGGGGCTCTACCGAGTCCTGCCCGTGGGCGCCGAGGATGTGGACCCGATCCGGGGCAAGGGATCGGGGGGCGCGATGGATGTGAGAGAGGGTGAGGGAGAGAAAGGGCACATCATAGTGGGCCAAGCGTGGACCGGCCCAGGGCCTGCCGCCCTTCGAGCGCGCCGCGCCGGGCTCACCTTTGTGCATGCCGGTGTAGCGGTCTTTGAGCACGGTGAGCTCGTAGATCTTGCCGAACTGCTCGAAGAGCGGCTTGAGGTCCTTCTCCTCCAGGTTGCGCGGGATCTGCCCCACGAAGAGCTTGATGGCATCCAGGTCTTTCATGCTGTCGGGCTGCGCGGGGGGCTCCGCGCCGCCGCTGCTGTTCATGGGGGAAGCTCGGCGCGGCGGTTGCGGCGCTGGCAGAAGCGGCGGCGGCTGTCTCCTCGCCTCGCCCTCGGTGAGTCTGGCCATGCCCCGCGCCCGGCGCGGCTGCGGGCGGGGGAGGCAGCGCGGCAGGAGCGGGAGCGGGAACAGCCCCGCCGCCCGCGCCGCCGCGGCCGCCGCGGCGCCACAAAGAGCCGCGCGCAGCGCCCCCTGCCGGCCGCGCGGAGCCCAGGCCAGGCCCGGGGCACCCCAGGCGTGGAGGGGGTGGGCCCCTTGAGAGGTACGGGGAGACCCCCGAGAAAGGGGCGTGAGGGTCCCTCAGGAGAGGGTTGGCCAGGAGAGCCGTGAAGGTGCTGGCAGCCACGGGCGAGGAGGCAAAGCAGCTGTGGCCGCCACGTGAGGGCCGAGCGGGGAGACACGACGCCCTTCCCCAGCTGTATTTTTAGGGCCCAAGTTCTAGGAAACGGGAGGAGGGGAGAGCTCTGAGCACCCACGAAGGCAGAGCTCCTCTGCATCCGTGTCAGAAATTAGCGTTTGCCTCCATTTTCTCAGTGTCTCAGCACGAGGGTCTGGAAGCAAAGAGGTTATTTAAACCACAAAAATTTTTTAACAGAGCTGTCACCCAGTGGTGAGCACAGGCACAAGCACCAGTGCTGGAAGGGGCTTAGCTGGAATGGGAAGCGATACATGGCCCCAGCTCTACAACCCCGGGAAGGTCTCTCTGCCCCTGCCCTTCTAGGCAAAGTCCCTTTTCTTCCCAGCAGGTCAGCTCCCTCCTCACTGAGGCTTGGTGAGGGCATTCCCAGCTACTTCCTGTGTCAGATAGTGCCAGATGGTCAGAAGCTGGTTGCATATCCATGTTGAAGCAGCCATTATTGCTGCTTCAGATCTCATTCCCATGTGAGGATGTGGATTGCTCTCCCACTGGCTTCTCCAGACACAGTTAGGCTGTGGGGGAGGGAGTCAGTGCTCCAAGCAGCATGGCCCAGGTGACCCAGGCTGTCTCACCTATCTGCTCCATCGCTGTCACGCCAGGGTGATGCTGAGGCACAGCACATCTAAGGCGTGTGCTCCTTCAGGAGCTGCAGGGGCAGCTGCAGGGGATGCAGCCAAATGCTGCTCTGCCACCCAGAGCCACACACTGCCTGAATCTTCCACAGAGTGTTTCCTCTGTCACACCATACATTTTAGCCTGTCATCCTGTCCCGGTGTCCCTGAAGATGAAAACACTTCTGTGCCCTCATGCTGGGAGTAGGAAGGGGGTGCTTGCTGGATTGTTTGTAGAGAAAGCTGTGGCAGAGCCCAGTGCTCAGCTCCACTGAGCATGCCAGGCCTGAGGCTTTAAAAAAAACTGTGGTGCAGGCACAGCCTGGCCTCCCTTCCCTTTGTTTAGTCTCTCTAGTAAGAGATTTCTGTCATCCCCCACTACTATTGCCCTGGATCCTGCAGAGGGAAGGCAGCAGTGGAGTGTAGGGGTGACCCTACTATCCAACACACAGATCCAGGGCAACAACAGCTCCCATAGCAGCCCAGTTCAGAAGGCTCTTGCCTGCTCCCCAAGTCCCATCCTTCCTCCTACCCCCTCCCTGCAGCACCCCACATGCCAGCTCACCTCCCAGAGCACTGCCTCAAACCCAGATCTGTTAAGCATAGTTTTACCCAGGAAGGCAGAAGGCTGACTCCAGGCCCCTGTAACAGGAGATACGTGCAGTAGGTTTCAATACTGAGAGCTGTGCAGGAAAGGTTAGGAAAAAGGGGAGGTGTTATCGGGGGAAGAAGAGGGGTCCCAATCCTACAGAGCTGAGGAAAGAACTGAGAATACCGGTCATGTATGAGCACCCACCTGGCTCCCAGACTAAAGTCATGGCAAGAATGACAGAGGCCCTTGCAGAACCAGAGGCACGTGCTGGCCCTCAGGAGGGAGGCACTGTGGACTTACTCCACTCTCGAGCTCAGCAGTGAATCTCAACCCTTTTCCAAGCTACAGATCTGTATCCTTCTTTCTCTAGCACTGACTGTTGTCCCCACCTGTGTGTGGAGGTGCCAGAACACTTACTCAGGGCCAGCAGATTCAAGAGCCTGGAATTTGCACACAGGCTTTTCACAGAAATGGACTCACAAAGGCCTGCAGCTTTTTCAGCCTGATCTGAACCCAGGGGTCACTTCATACTGTCCCAAGACTCTTGCTGTAGAGCTGTCTTGTGTTTGAGGGTGGTACCACTCCCAAAATTCACCCTAAAAAAACCCCTTATCTCCCCACACTGGTCAAACTTTCTGTTTAGATATCTTACAGAGACTGCCAGGGTTCTGCCACCTATTTGGAAGCTACAGATGCATCAGCTGGGAAGCCTACTTCAAGTCAAACTGTTCTCTTTTTTAACAGCTGCAAACAGATAAGGCAATCTTAAAAACAAGAAATCTTTATCACAGCAGCAGCAATCCTCACCTTAGATGAATCATACCTGAGCAAGTGATGTTTTGAAGCACCCTTCCATGCCTAGCCTGCTTTTTCACATCAGCTGCTGCAGCACAAGTTGCTCTTGACTTACATTACAGCTTGAAGGACCCAGTGCCTCAGGTAGAAAATGTCTACTTAGAAGGAAAGATATATCCAGTATCTTTTGGAGTGGACATATCATAATCCCCCCAACTGCAGCAGAGAACAATAGACATGAAAACACCTCTGGTAAATGAAAAATAGAACAGCTGTCAATCAGAACCTGGAGTTTACAGAGCCAGACAGAGAATTATATACCAGAGTAACGGGATTAAGGGGTAGATAAAAGATAGTTATAGCATCAAGACAAAGGGAAATGACAGGTCACCTTTGCAGATGCAGAAGAAACATGTTGCACAGCAGAGCTCAGATGCACAATTCCCAGAGGATGAAGGAATAGATTCTGCCCAAACCTGAGATGCTGCTTCAAAAAGAACTGTTAAAAGACAACCACATTATGTGCTCAGACAGTTTCTCTTCTGCGGAGGGACATTTGCTAGTGAAAAACACCCAAAGCGCTTTCTTCACACTTATCTATACTCTCCTTTCTTGTGGCAGATGAGTATTTGGATTTAGACAGGGACAGCTTAAGGTAAAAGGTGAAGAGGTCCAGTCCAGTGGTCCAAATCTGAAAAGGGCCTAAACAAAGGACAGAGGAACAGCAAGGTACACTTTGCATTAGGAGTGCCTGCCCAGTCCGGCTCCTAAAGGCATCAAGGAATGGAGAAAATAAAAGGAGAAGGACCTCTGAATTTCCACATTAACTAGGAGACAGCACTTAAAGCAGAAAATCCTGACTGCAGCCCAGGAAAAAAAAATAAAAAAGAGGAAGAAAAATCCCAAAGGGATCTTTCCAGGATTCTTCAAAACAGTCTGCCTCTCTTACTATTTGCTCCTCAGGGAGAATAGCCAAAGGACCAGTTAAGACAGTCCTGGCAGAAAATACCCAAGCAAAAAGGTAGTAACTCAGGCAAGTTCCTTCCCGTAACGTGATTGCTTCTGGTCTGGAACAAAAGATTCTGCAGCCAGATTGCCAGCCTGAGAAAAACAGCCTCTCTGGGTAAAAGGATATAACTTGCCATAAGCTTTTATCCTCTCTTGTCTACCAAGACCTTGCTGTTTAGCTTTCACTGGATATCTGTTTTAGCAATCAATTTAAGATTAGGGAGTTTTACCATTTTAACTTTGCAAGAAACCAAAAATTAACTAAGTTTTAAGGTTTGTGGACTTTACAACCGTTGTCTATAACAGTGGTAAATTGGAAGTGAATATCAAATATACCAGATATCTTTCTGATCAAGAGCAGCTGTTCTTTGAGGACTGATTAAAAGAAAAAAAAAAGGCAACAAACCCCCCCCTTGTTGCTCATTACACAAAAAGTTCAGGTTATTTGCAAACTGTTTCTTCTAATGCTTGAAAGCAAAGCATATGAAAGACAGAAAAGTGACACCTGAAGAGAGAGTAGCTGAACACCAGATTAGAGGAGAATGCCTCAATCATCAAGTCAACTCATCTCCACCGCTGCTGCAAGCAGCTACAGCACTGAGCCCTTCAAAATATTTTTGAGAAGTTTTATGAAGAAAGATTTTTTTCTCTCCTGCTATCCCTAGTGAAAGGCTAATCCAGCAGTGACAAATCCAGCCCCTAAAAAAGAGCATTTTCAATTCAGTACTCCACTCCACATCTTCCACACATCCCTCAGCTGATACAGCCCCGGCAGCTCTAAAGAGCAAGGGCCTTTGTACCTCCTACTTCACCAAGGTGCTGTAAGTGTCAGATATATTTAAGAGCATGAAGCATTCAGATACTATGGAAACCAGGACAAGAGAAAACCCCAAAATAGATGGAAGACGCAAGCTGTTGTAGTCTGGATAAGTCTTGCTGAGGAAAGCTGTGCTTGCTGCGGCTGATCACAGAGTGGGATCCATTTAGAGCTCAAGCATAAGATATCCTCTCTCCGCTCTCTCCATAGTTTGTCATTTTTCTCTGTGGATATTCTTTAACTTCCCCTCTATTTAACAGGCCTCCTAGTTACCACTTCCTTTGAATGATTCACATTTTAGTGTGCCCTTCACGTGACCTGGAGCAGCCCGCTGCCTGACTACTTCTATATAACAGGAGTATTTGGGAACATATCATGAGAAAAAACACTACAGAACACTCTCCTAAAACAGAAATCCAAAGCAACCTACAGAGAAGGGTGCCTGTATAAAAGAGTTGAGGTGGCAGCCTGTGAAACACTATGCTGCTTCTTTTTATAATACAGACACCTGTGTTGTGCATATTCAACCTCTACAGACAAACCAATTGAAGTAGAATAATCCCTTCACTCAAAAAAACAGTATAGCATGTAGAGGAAACACATAGGATGCCAGCATGAGGTATACAAACCATCTTACTCAATAGCCAACAAAATGTAAGTCAGTACAGGTATAGACCAGGTAAAGTACTCCACAAAGAAGAGAGAAGCCATCTATCCCTGGAAAGCCGGGTTGTTATCATGTCCCTCACCAGCACAGACCTCAAGTCTGCATGAGACCAGAGGTGCTGAAGTCTCATGTCACAGCACTGGCTCTAGTTTCAAGCGCTTATTACAAGCTATTTCTTGAAAACAGAAGCCTCTAGTCTTCTCAGCATGACCACCACCTCAGCGAGGAAGCCCCAGCAATGTGAGAAAGAGGCCCCAGATGAGAATCCTTGTCTTTATATGTCAGTGCACCTAAGGAAAATTAAATAGGTTGAAGGTGTCCAAGATTCTTCATCTTATAATTTCTTGACAGCAGCATCATCTCGGGAATGACCTCCATCTCCTTCCACTGTACTGTGGACAGGGCAATCCGTAGAAACAGGAGCAGGAGAGGTTACAGAGGGGTAAGCATCAAGCAGCACACCTCCTTCTGCCAGGAGGTGCTCCCGCTGCGTCGGAGCCGAGCGGAGCTGCCCGCCCTGCCCCATGTCACTGCCGGGCACAGGGGGGACACCCCGAGAGACAGCACCAGGGGACCCTGCAGAGCGTTGCACACAGGTGGGCTGGGGGGCAGCTGGAAGAAGGGTCTTAACACGGAGAATCCCTTTAGAGGGGCCACGGGAGGAGGCAGAATAAACGTACAACATTTGACTCTCCCTTTCTGTAGTGTTTAGGTCACTTTCCCACTCCACAACTAGGACCACTGTCCATGTAAGTCTTGGACAAACTCATGCTCAGGGAACAGATCTCCTGCAATGCTTATAATTTGAATAAATAATTTAGTGTTCAAATGGTCATTTGGTAATGACAGAGGCACAACAATCTCTACGAGCACACTGTATTGGCTTCTGACGGAACCATTTTTCACAGTATCAAAGCTGTTTTGCATAGAAACTTGACAGGAATTTGCTCACCTCAAGGTTCTGGAATAGCATCTGTCATACTATTTTACTTTTGACTATATAGAAAGGACAAAGTCTTTAAACACGTTGATTTTCTTCCTTATTGTAGAGAGATCTATTCCTCCAAATAATGCAAGGAGATTCCATTTTTTTGAGCTTCCATCAGCAAATAGTTCTCTGACAAATCTGTCCATCAAACCTACTCACTCACTTTATTTTTCCAAGGGAAAAAGAGACAAACAAATAAGAAAATGAAAAATGTTAAAATACTTAAATATTATTACATTTATAGTCAAAAATATGTAAATCAACTGCAGTGAACTTTCTATTAGCTTTTAAATATTCACCTCAATATACATTTGTTCTTTAGGGCACACAAGAGATAAATAACTGAGTTAACATTTCTAGATAAATCAAATCTTTTTCCTGAGCTGCAAATATTCCAGATTATAACCTTGAAGTTGCTATGCGATAACTACAAATGGAAACTAAACAGATCAAAGTGAGCAAGCAGGAGCCCACACTTGAGTATCCAGAGGCCTAATTTACTGAGACATACAGTAGCAGCCCCATCATTTCAGATCAGTGAGTCAAAACTGAATTGCTCTGAAACGTAAAACCCAGCCTGGCCACAGGGAGCAAGAGAAGCTTGGGATTTGAGCTTGTGCTATGAACATGAGTGCAAGATTTAAAACAAAACACCCTCAAAACCAAGCCCCACAACAATTTCGGATACCTGTGGTTTTGAATGTCTGAATAGATTGTGATGACTCTTTCAGCCACAGACAGCGAGATACCTAATTCCATTTTGGTTTCAGGATCTTCTCTGCACCGAGTACAAGACTGGAGTTCATATTGCACAGCATTAGTTATCTCCTAACAATAAACCAATCTCTCTTATTTGGGAGATGAACTAGTATGGTTTTCTGCCTAGAAGCATCAACTGCTAGCCACTTGTGTATATGTGCACATATGCTTTCCATCTTCTTCCCTACAGGCCAGGCAAACTCCTCACAAGAGAAAGACAGTAAAAATAAGGGCAACAAGATTCAGCTACACAGAGCTCTTCTGCAATGTTGTGGAGAACTTTTATTTTATCACAACACCTGTTGAATTTCTGCCTTTGTGTGTTGTCTTAGTGTCAGAATTGATCAGATATGCTGCAGTGGGGATCAGCACCAGTGTCTATTGCAAGCTTCTCTGTTAAACTTACCAAAGAAAACAACAGTGGAAATAGCAATGTGAGAACTAAATTCAATTCCAGGATGGGCACTGTGTTCCAGCTACGAGAAAGCTGGAATTTGTCTATCTCAGATTTGAGTATATATGTTTCAGCACACATGCACTCTTATCTGTAGTAAAAAGGCAGTCAGCTAGAGATACACAAAATGCATCCAAAAGAATTATGGGACAAATTAACCTTGTGTGGGAGAGAGCGATATACTGTCCCTACTGCCCTTCAGGTTTATAAAGTCTCCTCATAAATCTTATCCATCTTTCTTTTAAGTTATTGGCACTGCATCAGGAGAGTCAGCAGTTCATTGCTGAGACCACATGGAGCTTAAATGTTTTCTTTAGTGCTCCAGCCTTGACAGGGAGACAACTGCAACTACACTGGGTTGCCTTGGTGGGAAGTTTTTGACTCTGAACTTTGAGCTTCTCATCTGGAAGACTGAGGGCTGACAGTCTTCACTGCCAGGAATAATGTTCCAGGCCTGTTCTGTGCACTCTTGCCCACTACTGGCAGATTTTATATGCATCAACTCAAGCTGCAGCAGGATTGCTAATAATTTTTTCTATTCTTCTCAGCAAAGTAACAGAGTGAATCATTAGGACTGGTTAAGTAATCTGCTGGATTGGAGGGAACACCACCTCCCTAAGTGTAACACACCAGAAATGTATGATGCAGTTGGAGGACTTTGAAATTACTTCCAGACATTCAGAGCCTACAGAGTTCTTCAGACAACCACTGTACCATGCATGTTCTAAACCTACCCAGCACAGAGAATGCACATTCCCATGGCGCAGCATATGTAACGTCTATGGGCAAAGCATAAAAGCCAGTGTAAAACAATCAAGGCCTGTCTTTCAGGCGCTTCAGCAACTTCTGAAGTCATTATAAATTAATTTGGCAAAGGAGTGTCATGAGCACTTCACGCACGCAGAGAGACATATTTCATATAAGCACTCAAAAGATCAGGAAAAGGCAGGTTTCCCTTGTAGGGCTGATATTTCAGGAGTGCTTGGCACCATGCCACCTGGTGATATGATGGTGAGCTGCTGATACTAGCATCCATCCTGGAAAAGACAAGACCCTTTAAAAAAACAAGTTGCTACACATTTCAAGTAGCAGAAAGCACACTGTAGGGTAAGGGTACTCCGAGAAGGAGTCTATGGTGAAGAAAACCAAAAATGCATGGAAATCAGTGCTTTGGTGCCCATCCAAAGGACAAGGCCAGTGACTGGTCACAACAACCTCTTTTCTAACAAGCACGTGCACAGCAGCTGCGTACAGACAAGAATGCACAGCTTGATTTTTCCTTGCATACAAAAAAAAAAGGGGTACACCTTCATTCAAACACACAATAGCTTTTCAGTCCCTGTAAAATATGCTATTTTAATTACAAGTAGTAGTTTAAAGAATAATAATAATAAAAAAAAAAGGTATCCACTGTGGCTTGTGAAGAGATGTCATATGCATAGGACAGATTACAGAAAGGACTCAGACCTCACGGGGTGACAGGAACAATACTCCATCAGGTTATCTTCTAGAACTACAACTAGTCTAGCAATTGTAGTCAGTATCTTGATATGTTTTCCAGGTCTGGGCTGCTCTTGCTCTTGTCATTGATGCAACCACTTGTTTAAGTACATGGAACAGCGCAGAACACAATCCTGCAGCAGCTGACATAATAGAACACCCCTCAAAGATCAAGCAAGAGTTTAACACAGAGTGGTGGCAGCCATGAACTGTCCAATGACTATAAACTTCCAGAGTAACCAAATACACAGCAAAATGCATCCTCCAACAGAGACAGGAGAGAACCTGTCCTGGCAAGAACCCTAATACCAGAAACCCATCTTAGCAATCTTTTCTTGTCCTGGCAGTAACAGTCACGATCACTCACAGTTGCACCTCCTAAAAGGGTAGGAGTTACTGCAGTATAAACAAAATGCAAAAAGGTGCTTGCCTGCTTGCTCAGCACACCTCACTAAAGCCAGGCAGTGAATTTAAGGAAGAAGTACCATAAGGAAACATGCTAATTGCATTCCCTTTAATTTGCATGTGCACTTTTTTTCTTTTAAACAACTGCTCCAAGTCCTTGTCTGCTGGGCAGAGATAACACGTCACTCTGTAGTTTCGGTTTCTAAGTTGGCTGTATGACACATGGCCACGAAGGTGTTGGACTTTGTTTTACACTCATAGAAGCTGCCCAGAATAAGACTGCAAGAATTGGTGGAGTCTGAGCCTCTCTCTCTCACCAAAATGCAAAGGAAAATAAACACAGTGCTGTCAGGGGAAGAAGGTGAAGAAAAGCACTTAAAAGGTGCACAAGAGTTAAAATTTCATTTTCTTTATGCCTTCCTTCCCTCTGTACAGTAGCAAAGAGGAAGAGAAATAGCCAGGTTCAATGGAAGGCAGAAGGTTTCCGATGGGCTCACCGATGGCTCAGTGCTGCTGGGTGGTTGATGACTTGTTGCTTCACTGCTGCTTGGTTTTAAGGGATAATCTCTGTATCATCTTGTAAAGGAGACCAAAGTGCTGGAAAAAGAACAAAAAGAAGTAATCATGGCTGTTCTAAACAAACAAAAAACTTAGTAGAAGGCTTAAAACAATACCAATGTGCAAATGCAGTACCTAGTTTAAATCATCCTTCACCCTGAAGATGTACTTCAACTTGTACAGAAAGTGATGGCTTACAGAAGTGCTTGTGTAGGTCTGTATCACCCCTTTGTGAAAATGCAATGACTTGTTAAAGATTTTTTTTTTTTTAATAGAATTCTGTTCCTTCTGAAGGGGAGAAAGTTTCACATTTCAACATCTTCAGGATCCTGGTCGCTGTGGAAACACTGCTGCCAGCAGTGTCACAAATGTAAAAATGAACCAGGCAAACACAGACATCCACAGTAATTCACAATCCTTTAACCGAATCTTCTCTTGCACCATTTCACCAGTGACTTGGAAATTAACTTAATTCCTCTTTTGCTTTTACTTTGGTTAATTGTGTTTTGCTTCATTAACAGCTACTTCAAATATTTGATGGATGTAACAACATCCAAGCTTCAAATAATCTCAAATTCAAATACAAAAGTAAGGAAGATAGCTGACAAATCAAAGTATATGATCTCCTTTCTGTTTATGTTGTTACATTGTATTTTTAAATGCTTGTAGTTTCCCCAAACAAATAACAAATACAAATAACCCGAAGAGATCAAAATTGAGAGTGACTTAAAATGCTTCCGTTTCATTGATGTTCTTCACGAGCCCAGGCAGGATCAGAAGCCTCGCTCACAGTGGCTTGGCTAACACTTACACAGAAACAATGCATATAAACAGGCTGGCCAAGGCATGGAGTATCACATTTCCAAGATTATTGGCACAAGATATATTTACGGTTTCACTGAAAAAAGAAACCAAAACTCTTGAACATGCATTTCTAAGTTGCATCCTGAGTTCAGATATTTCCTAATACTACCTTACTACAAGCAACAAACTTTTAACATTACAGCAAATTTTAGTTGCCTTGAGAAGTTTCAGTTTGAAGGCAAAATAGCTTAACAAGTGAGTTATGTATGTCCTTGACTACAAGAAACAGCTCTAAAAAACCACTTTTGCACTAGAATGGCAAGAGATTGCCTTCAGCACAGCCAACTGAAATACTCAAAAGACATGGACCAAAACAGCCAGTCGTTCTGGATAACTGCTTTCAGAGTGGGATGGCATTATTGTTCCAGCTTTAGTGCTGGGACTGTGTGAACATCAGTTACTGTAGCTACCATGATTTATAAGGAAAATAATACATCTGTTTCCTGCTTCTCTTCTCTTACCTGCACTGCAACATAGGCAACGCCCAGGTAGGCTGCAATACAGACAGCTAGAAGCAGGTCAAAGATCGCTGGCTTGACCCTGTCATAAAGAAAGTACACATGAAATTGCTACAGCAGTTGTTGCCACAGATTGAGACAACAGCCCCAACATGTCCAAGGGAATTCCATACCTGTATGCATTCATCACCTGTTTCAGCTGGTCATAGAAAACAAACTCAGGATCCCTGTGCAAAGAAGAAAATTTTCAGATTCTATTACACTTCTTGACACTGCAATGAGGACAGCCCAGACCTGTCCTCAAGGAGTCCACCCAACCAGAGACAGGGAAGCATGACCACCTCGCATACTAATTTTGAGCTGCTTTTAGTCATCAGGTCTTTTTTTCCCCAAATCAGAAGCCTAAGGACACAATTCAGAACACATGCTATTCAGCTGTCTCTGAAGAGTTATGTGAAAGATTCCTCCCTGTGTTCACTAAACTGCTTCAGCCCAAGAAGGTAAGACAGGATGGAAGCTGCCTTTTTGCAGTTAATGAAAGCTGTCTAGGGGCCCTCAGTCCTTTCCTGTGCTCAGAGTGGGAAAGGTGGAACCAAAACAGTGAAAAAACAAGTTCTTCAGACAGAGGGAGCTGCTGGGTCTTGTTACTGTGCTGTGAGCAAGGGTAAACAGCTTTCTCTAGGAGAGCAGAGAGCATGAACCAAAACTGACAGAAGAGCAGAAAAGAGCAATCCCTTCCAGCTGCATGCCAAGAAACCAGAAAAGCTGCAGCTCCAAATGCTTCAGAGGGGGAATCCAGTTTGCATGCCCTGGCTGGCTCTTCCATTTCCTTTCTTACCGTTTGTCTGCCTTTACATGATGCTGCTTGACATCCTTCAGGTAGCGTCCCATATAATATTCTAAGGTGTTGAGGAAGGTGCTGTCTTTATCTATCAGCTGGGCAGCCCTGGGTTGACTGCTCAGCCAGTCCATCACTGACTCCAGTTGCTCCTGCTGGATCTGCTACAGAAAAATACCACCAAACAAAGAGCATCAACCACACACATGCTGAGACCAGACCTCTCTCCCAGACTCTAGATTCTTTCTTCCCACAGGTTACAAAACCACACTGTGCTCACCATCTGATCTGTGAAGATTTGCATATCTGCAGGTGCTCCCTGCAATGGAAAAAAAACCAACAAACAAGCAATCAAAGCTACTGGAGAGAGCAAGCCTGGTTGGGCAGGACAAGTCTGGTCAGCACTGCACGGTGGGCAGCTCTTACCTTGTCTGTTAAATTGTAGATTACCCTTGTCAAAGCTTCAGCAATGATCCTAGTATTCCTGATCAGTGCTTTAGTGTCTATCCGTGCCCTAGAGAAAAAAGAGGGGATTATGGACTTGCCAATGGCATCAGCTTCCTATAGAAACAACCGTTTCTCACTGCATCATGCACAAGCCTGAATCCCGAGCCCAACTTCCAGTATTTTTGTCACCTGCCCTCGACCATCAGAACACCACAAGCACTCGTGAAGCCAATCTGTGTTTACGGGCTGGATTTAAACTACAGCCTTCCTTCCCTAAGGCCTCTCACCTCCTGTCCATGATGCTGTTGCGGAGGCTGTCACGGTGGCTCTCCAGGTGGGAGATGGTGAATGCTGGCAAGCGTCGGATCGCAAACCGCTCGTGCTCCCATGCCAGCATGTCCTCAGCCAAGTTAATCTTCTTGTGCACCATGGAAAACTTCACCTCTGGGAACTGGCTGGCAACAACCTGAGGGAAAGGACAAGCCATACAGGGGTGTCATGCTGCCCACTGCATTATCCATCACACACTGCCCTGTCTGCCTAGACCCACTTTTTTTGCATTTCAGAAGGTAAATACACCCCCACCTATAAGGTGCAGTTATTGCTATTACAAAGCTTGTCAAAAAAAAGCTGTTTTAATGTCACTACAGGGTAAAATAAGGAAGCCATAAGGAAATGCAGCGGAAAATGCAGCAGATCTACTCTGCTTCATTTAGGACTTCAAATCAAGTGACCATGAACAATACACAAAATATTGCAATGGCACACCATTTCTTTACATCGTCCTTCCTCTCTTGGAGAGCTGCAGTTCCCCACACTAAGTCCCCAATTCCCATGTTTTCCCAATGTTTTTCATTACCATCTCCAGTTCTCTCAGAAATGCATGCTGCAAGGTCCCCTCCTTGGGAGGCTTTGAGACATGAAGATGAAGACTATTGCCTCTGCCCAGAGTATCAAGGCAGAGAACAAATGCTACGTTGTCCTGCAGCAGGCTGGAATCTGGAACAGAAAAATCCAAACCTTTATTGCTATGTCTTGTGCTGGGACTTCCATCCCAAAAAAGCAAGGCTCACATGGAGATTCTCACAGGAGGACTGACAATTAATAACAGACATTTAACACAACCGTATTGACACAGACCTTGCCACAGAACATGCTGGAATGTCAGCCCCCTTACTCACCAGTGTGGTCCAAATTGTCTTCCAGCCACCGCTTAGTTCCTTGATAATTAAACTTGCCACCTCCAGATGCAAAGAACAGCAAGTTATACCTGCCCATCAAAGAAGTCAGAAAAGCGTTAGCATGCTGCACTCCAAGAACTCCTTTACTCAGTCTTGAAGGTGTGGTAAAATCACAACTACCAGCACCTGACATTCAAGGCAAACTGTCTCTTAACAAACACGTCCTATATGCCACATACTCAGGTTATAGCAAGACAGAATAAAAGAGGGAGTTCCCATTCCTTGAGGATGGAATCTACTTCCCACATCATTCCCTCCACTTGTCCCCAAGCTTGAGCAGAGCTACAGCAGAGAACAGAGGAAGGAGTTTGGCCATTAACAGCAGCCGTACTCAAATGGAAACAAAACAAGGCAAATTGAAGGACTGTTTGTAACACCATGCAGGTCTGGAGCAAAAGCCCATCTGTTCTCAGCTACACACATTTAAGCATAAACAGGGCAGTTTCTTACCCAGCATGGGTACGTCTGTAGGTGTAGAGCCGGGAAAACAGCCTGGCCAGTTCCAGAAGCACTGAGGTACCACTGCCATTAGAGTCAGCACCATGTGACAGCCACTGCAGGATAAAGTGGGGCAAAGACAAGGTGACAAGCCTACACTGCATTCTCACATACCAGAAGAGCTTCAAGATAGCACATCACTATGCTCCACCTGTAAACTGCCCCACATCCTTAAGGCCAAGAAAAGACATATGGGCAGAGGCATTATGGAGAAAAAACACAGGAACAGAGAGCTGCAGGAAGAAAGAATACTCACTGGAGCCACTCCAAAAGAATCATAGTGGGCAACTATCACAACTGTGGGCAGGTCTTCTCCACCCAGCCCTGTTAGCCTTCCCTGCAGAGGAAAGAGAGCAGTGTCACTCCACATCATCTCTTGTATGCCTGTACAAAGACTACATGCCTGCCCTGGCCTCAGTTTTGAGGACTCCAGATACTTACAAGGCTGAGACTCCCTTGACTTGCCCTATCAGTCCAAATGTCTGATGAAGTCCCAATAAAATAATTCATCCCATCAGCATTGCCAGTTTGAATCCATATACAACTCACCTCCACACTGGGTATAAGCCAGTCATTGATAGCTTTGCTTTGGGCCCCACTGGTCACCATCTGGAAGCCATTGGCAGTTGCTGTGTGCAGCAGAACTAGAACACAAAAAAACCCCAAAACCACAATGTACACCTGGGAAAGTTTCAACCCTTTATTCTCCTTGCTAACTGCGCTTAGGAGAGACCAGCTTTAAACCATTTAAGCCCTCTCACTTGTCACTTGTGTTTATGCAATGACACAGTTTCTTGGTGACCATGCGTCTTCATTCTGTCCTAAACCAAAAACTTTTCTCCAGCAGTCCTAAAGTTAATCATAAACAGCAGGTCAATAAGACAATCAAGCTGTTTACAAGGGGATACAAGGAAGCACCAAAAGGAGTTGTGGTCAGACAAAAAGCTTCAGCTTCTACCAGCACACCATCGTCACTTAACATCTTCAATGTTGTTTTTAACCTAGTTTTGATTTATATCTTATTTGCAACAGTGTGAAGCTGAGAACTTCATGCAATTGTATTTCCAAATATAGTCAAGTAATACTCTCTCATACTGGGTTTTTCTTCCACTGACTCTCAAAACACTTTGACAAAGTCAGAATAAACACAAATGTGACAGAACAGTGGTTCATGGTGCATAGGACACGGCAGACTGCTCCCAGGCCAGTCTTCCTCAAACCTTTTCCCCACTTGTTAAAACTCACCTTCTGCAGCTGAGGAAGAACCCTGTGATGCCGAAGCAGCGCGTGTTTGTTCATAGATAGACAGCAGCTCTTCATCTTCCACTGCAAAGTAGACTGGCACAATGGTTTCCATAGCAAGCATTTCTGGCTCTATCTCCATGAATTGCTGAGGATTTAAGTGAGACACAAACTTAGCATCTGCTAAACATGAAAGAGGGCAGGAAAATATTAACAACCAAAGCAGAGAGGTAAGTTTTCATATTAGAATACTACTTGATGTGCATTACATCAGGAGCTTCCGGTCCCGCAGCAACCCAAGCCTCTCTCAAATCTCCCATCGGAAGAGAAAGAAAACTTTTCTTTTTTTTTTTACCCTTACAACATCCTGGGGGACTGAAGAGATAGATTGCGGCAAGATGATGACCACAGCTCCAGCTGACTGGCGGAGAGCCTTCTGATACTGCTCATAGGAGAAATCCACCAGCCGCATCATGACGCAGCGGCGGCTCAGGACATCCGCCTCTACCGTGCGCGCTTCTGTGTTCAGCACTGCGCTCCTGGTGCCTGGCAGCAGAGAACAGCAACAGATCTTGTCAGTCATTTCAACACATCCCCTTTGCTTGAGCCTAGCTCCTTCTCAGAACAGTTTTTGTGACAGTTTGATGAACTTCAGAGCAGCCAGGACCTGCAGAAAGCTAAGTCCGCCTCTTCCCTCTCATCCAAGAAGGAGCAGAGATGTGGGGTTTTTCTTGCATCCATCAGAGCAACACCTCTGTGGCCATGTTCTGCCAGACTCTCCTTATTCCAGCACTATACAGCCTTTCCCACATTCCAGTCTACCTCCACAACACAACCACACAGGTTGTTTGCTCACTTGCACCTGATACCTGCTGGCAGCAACACCTCTGGAGAGAGCCTGGCCTCTCTAGAGCCTCTCACATCCCCCAGCTGTAGGATCACCCCTGCATGCAGAGGATGGAGGCTGTGCAGAGCCACTTGGTGAAAGGACACCAGGCTACCCTGTGTCACCCAAAAGGCTGCTCTTGCCCTCCCACAAGGACAGGTCTGTAGCTGGGGAAGTGACAAATTAGCAGCTGCTCCTAACTGTTCACTCTCTCCTACTCTCAGCTTCAGCATATCAAATCCCCTACATGGAAATGCAATTCTTTGGGAGAACAGCAGTATGTAGGCTTGCCAGCAGCTCCTGCATTCTCCAAGGGAAGACCAAAAGGACATCTTGTACAGAGAGGTTCAAATCCACCTTACAATTTATAATGCTGCAAATTCAGTTTCTTTTTCTATAACTCTGGCACCTATAGAGGACCTCATCCCTCTAGGTCCCCACACAGTCAGGGATGGAACAAGGTGCTCCAGAAGGCCTCTCAGCTTCTATTCAAAGAGGAGTGCTCCTAAGCATTAGATCTAAACCTAACTTAGTTTTACTTTAGTTTAGTCTCATCAAAGGTCATAGAATCACCTAAACAAGAAAAATCTATACTTCCACTGCGTAGTATCAGTGAGGGCCATACACCTGTAAATAGAGTCAAGGCATGATGTAAATTCTTCTCACAGAACTCTGACGCTGTATAACAAACAAGTACTAAGAACACCCCTGCTCCAGTAAAAAAAAAAAAAAATTATTCAAAAGGAGGATAATCCCTCCCCAGTTTCCCAAAGAATGATGTGTAGACACAGCAATATGTGGACCCAAAGTTCTGCTTTTCTGACACCTAAACAGAGCAGACACAACAGTATTTTCTGACAGCACAGCAAGGCAAGTTGATTTTCTGCAGTTTTTCTACAGAGAGCTGGTTAATAATAATTCATTTACAAACTAAAGAACTCTATCACTATTAGAGGAAGTCCAAGTTTGTTCTTAAATTACTCTATGACTGATGCTGACAAAAAAATCTCTTCCCCCTCCAAGAAGAGACTGAGCAGCAACATGTATTTGGTCTTTTTGGCTGGAACAACGAATAGCTTTTATCCTGAAGGACATCTCAGAACACACAAGGTATAGGAACATCGGCTACCCAAAGGGGGTAGGAAGGAGCAAAGGAAACACACAGTCCACCAAGCAGCAGAGGAAACCTGAGGCTATAATGCCAGACCATTAACATAAGTCTGAAACTTAGGAAGAGTAACTCATGAACAGAGCACATGTCCTGGCCTGGAATAAAATATCTACAGAAGACTCAGAAACAACCCTTGATCCTGAGTCCGTGAGTGCACGAAGGAGGATGGGGGGGAAAGGGGGGCGAAGGCTGAGGGTTACAGCACTTCAAGGATTCACAGAACAGGGTGTGTTTCTGGCTCGGAAAGGTGTTGCACAATCAGCAGCCTGGAAGTAACAGAATAGAGGAAGTCAATTGTAACACAACGGAAGAACGGTAACAGGATGGGCCCTGAAATGAAGCCACTGGAGCAACAGATACTGCTGAGAATGAAGAAGAGACTGAAGAAGGATCAACCTGTCAATAGAGGAGTCAAAGGCAAGAGAACAAAACAGAGCTCACGACCAAGTGTCCCAGAATGCAAGAGAGATGCAGCTGGACTCCTCGAAACACAGAGAGCTCAGTCACAGACAAGCCCGTGGGGTCCTTGGCTACCTCTAGGTCACCGCGGTGGAGCTCTCAGCACCGTCGTGGCAGTGCTGATCCTGGGCAGTGGAACTCAGCCAGACAGGGCCCTCCTGCGGCCTCCCCCGCTCCTGGGCCTGACCTCGGGCCCGGCTGCCGCCTCCCAGAGCCCCCGCGAGCCCCTGCGGCCTCTTCTGGGCCGGGCTGCCCTCCACGGGTCTGGGGCTCCGCGGCCTACCCGAGCCTCCTCCCCGGGAGTCGAGGTTCCTCCCAGGGCCCACCATCCCTGAAGAGGCCGCTGCCCGAGGTCCGACCTCCCGAAGAGGCCGAGCCCGGTCAGGCCGTGCGGTTCTCTCACCGTAGGGCTGCCCGCCCAGCTCGTATTGCTGCATGCGGTAGACCGTGAACTCGTGCGCGGCCTCGGCGGCGGGCGGCGGGCCCAGGAGCAGGAGTACGGCGGGCACGAAGAGTAGGACGCTGAGCGGGAGGCACGAGGCCTTGAGCACCGACTCCAGCACCTCGCCCGCCTCCTCCAGCATCGCCGCGGCCCCGGCACCGGCACCGCGGCCTGCTCGGCACGCGCGACACGCACGGCCCACCCCCGCGACCTGCCGGAACCTATAGTTCGCGTCCCGCGGCAAGGGCTGCTGGGAGATGTAGTCGCGGCCAGCCCTGCTGGGCCTGCAGGGGGCGCCACGCCCCGGCCCGGAGTGGCCCCAAACGCTGGACGGGACGGGGTGGGACAGGATGGGATGGAACGGGATGGGACAGGATGGAACGAGGTGGGGTGGGGTGGAGTGGGACGGGACGGAGTGGGGTGGGGTGGGACGGGGTGGGATGGGATGGGGTGGAGTGGGATGGGACGGGACGGGACAGAACGGGACTGGGCGGGAGGGGAGACTCCCGCTGTCCCCGTGAGCGGAGTGATCCCCCTGTCCTGGGAACGGGAGGGCGGCTCCGGCTGTCCCGGGCCTACAGGGGACGTCTGCCGGGTGCTACTCGTCTTCTGGATTAGGGGGCGGAGACCGGGTACCTGACCTTCAGGAAGTAAAAAATTTACAGCAAAATTAACACGGGACTTTTGGTTACCTCAATTTAATGCAAAACAAATGGGTTGATAACTCAGCTCCTGTGGAGGGACTGGGCCAGCAAGTTTTTTGTGAGCCCACAGTGCTTCCATGGCTTTGTCCTTTTTGTCGGGTGAGAGGATGTGTTTGAGTGCTGCTCTGATTATTCCCTACATTAGGGAATAGAAGAGCAGGGATCTGAGGCGCAAGCTGGCAGTGTCTTCAGGCCCTACTGTGTCTCTGTCAGATCCAGGGTGGCTCCAGTCACTGTGGTAGTGCCCAAGCTGTCACTGCAGGTGCAGCCCCATGCCCTGAGGCAGGGCAGGGCTCTCACTTCTTGCTGCCAGACTGCAAGCATTGTCACAGCGTTTGCCCGGGCGTAGTGCCCAACCTTAGCACTCCAAGGAGGGCCTAGGCTGTTGCTGCAGCCCTCTGCTGTCCTCTGGCTGGTTTGTGCTGCACTGCAGGTGGGCGCTTGATTCCTGGCTCAGATCTGCCCCACAACAGCACATAGTTGCACTTGCAAATACAGTTGTTCTGCATTCTTTCCCAGCAGCTGTGCCCATCGCAACAGTTCCAGAAGGCTGTAAACTGCAGGAGGAGACTCAAAAGTATCACCTCCAACCCTGCATGATGTGAAGTGGCAGCACTGCTAACCCAGCCCGACCTGAAGGGATAGGGGGGGCCATCTGGTTGGGGATGCCCACCCTACATGTCACTGTGCCCTGGGCAAAATACCCTCATTTGGGCAGGTAGGGCGTCTGTCTGCACACACAGAGCACACACACTTATAACCTAGGCACTGCAGTTGTCTCCGCAGAGCATCGGTCCTAAAATGTGCCCGTATCTTTCTCTCCCAGCCTGGGAGCAATGCCTGTCCATGTGCTGAACCCACACTGAAGCAACATCCCAGTCTGATGGGTCTAGAAAGCCTGGTCTCAGTTAACAACTGGGGTGGGGCTGCCCCAGGTCAGCCTGAGTTGCACGTAGGCTACAGTTCTGCCAGGCCAGGACCAGCAGAATGAGGTCCTGGGAGCTGTCTGGCACCTCTTGCTCTTCCCATGGCTTCTTAGAGGCTAGGGAGATTGCTCATCATGCTGGAGTTGCTGGAGAGAGGTGCTCTGGGCCTAGCATTCAGTGCCACGGAGCTGCGGAAACTCTCCCGGTAGTGCAGTGAGCTCTCCGTGGATGAGCCAGAGTTGATATCTGTGATGACCATGCAGTTCCCAGGCTTGCAAAGCCCAGCCCTGACACAGCAGCAGCACAGCAGGCTTCCCACAGCATGGCGCACCTCCACGCTCCTCAGGGAATAGATGATGGGGTTGACGCCTGAGTTAAGCAAAGCCAGAGCCAAGGTCCAGTCCAGGCTCTGGAGGTGTGTGCAGGTCTGGGTCTCACAGAAGACATCAAACAGCAACAGGACAAAGAGGGGACTCCAGCAGATGATGAAGGCACCCAGGATCATCAGCACAGTCTTAAGCAAGCGCAGGGAACGCTTGCGGCTGTGCCGAGAACTGGTTTGCTTAGAACTGGCCTGGACCAGTTGAAAGATGGAGATGTAGAGGCCAATAATCCCCAGGAGGATGATGCTGAACATGACTACGGAGAAAAGGATGTAGTTCTTGGAGTAGAGAGGCAGGAGCACAGAGCAGGCACTGAAGTCGCACAGGCAGTTCCAGCCCAGCAGTGGGAGCAGTCCTATGACAAAGGCCAGCAGCCAGCAGGAAATGATCAGGCTGCGTAAGCGCAGGGTCTTGCTGGCTTCATTCTCAGCAATTGGCCTCACCATGGCACTATAACGCTCAATGGCTGTCACGAGCAGGCTGAAGGTGGAGGCAGCCAGTGCAATGAACAGGATGCCTTCCCGCAGGAACCAGAGCGGAGGTGAAAGCTGGAAGGTCTTCTTGCCTGAGAGGCAGAGATTAGAGAGGTAGGCAATTCCTGCAAGCAGGTCACTCACAGTGATGCTGGCAATGCAGGAATAGACCCAGCGGCGGGCTCGCAGACACCGCAGGATGGCCAGCAGCACGAGCAGGTTCTCCAGGATGATGATGCAGCTGATAATGATGAAGGTTGTGTGTATGAAGCCCATGCCCTCGTCCCCAGACTGCCGGTTGGTTAGCTTGCCTGTGAAGTTGTAGTGCTGCAGGATGATGTTCACATTCCTCATGGCAGCCAGCTGCAGGCAGGAACCTTTCTTGTCGAGCAGGTCAAGTCTGAGCTCAGGATATTGAGCAGAGTCCAGTGGGAGGAGAAGGGAGTGATTCAACAGCCAGCTTAGCACTGGACCATCCATCTTCTGAGTCTGGGTCAGCAGCCAAGGGATACACGGTGGAGGAAGGGATCAGGTAGGATTTGGGGCAGAGCAGATCCTCTGTTCAAGGGCTAAAGTAGCTCTGAGACTCTGCCACACAGGACTGGCTCTAAACCCAACAGCCCTGCTCAGCGTGGAGATGAGAGTGAGAGTCCTGTCTGTCAACCCTGCAGCACTGAAAGAGCAAGGGGAGAGGAGGGTGAGGTGTTTTGTAAGTCCACCGTGAACAAAGGCTTCCTGTTGTTTAATAAAGTTTCCTGTTGTGAGAGGATACTGTTCCTAATAGTTATCACTATTTCTTGGTAAGGGTTTGGCTATTGTCAGCTTTGCTGTGGTTGTGATGGTGGGACATGAATGAAATAATGTGTCAGGCCCCTCTTTGGGTCAGAGCACTCTGGGTCAAATGGAGTAACACCTCCCACCTCGATGGGTGAGACCTGTGGGGCTGAACTAAACCAAGTGCTAGTAAGAGCTATTAAAGCAGACAGCATGAGACACTAAGTGCTTTGCTTGCTGTGGTACTAAATTCATCCCTAAGCCTGCAAGAGAGCAACTGCCTCTTCACCAACTGCCCTGTGCACCACCCATGCTCAGATATATCCTTCTTCAGGAGGAAGCTCCATGCTGTCACCCTTCTGGGCTTCTCTACGGGCCCAGCTCCTGCCACTCTCTCAGAACAGGTCCGTCCATGTCCTGCAGTTTGTGCAGCAACTCCAGGCACCCATGTGGCTGAAGATGGGGCTTAGCTCCATCTAGTTCAAAGGGAACCAGCTGGTCAAAGCTAAGCATGTGCCCTGACACTGTCCCCTCCACCTTCAACTCTCCAAGCACCTTCTAGAGACGGGCCAGAATCTTCCCATTGTCTGGGTCACAGGCAGGGAAAGAGGCAAAAAAGGGCTGCCTCTTCCCATTGCAGAAAGCACAAGGTACTGCACTGAGATTGGAACCAAGGAATCCAAATGTGACTGTAATATTAATATCTATCATTAGACCTATTCCCTATGTCTGCAAAACTCAACTGAAGAGAGTCTTGCAATGTACTGTTCCCAATTGCGGCTGGGAGTTTGCCTTATGACTCACCTGTCATGGCTGGTGTGAGGCTCTTGCTGCCGGAGGGAGGTTCAGCAGTGCTCTCCGGCTGCTTATCCAAGGCCCAGCACAGAGCAGGTAGGGGGGAGAGCTCCTTGTGAAAAATAAGTGAGACTTCTACCTATCAAAGTTGAAAAAGGGAAGTTACAACATCAACCACATTCTGTGTGGAGGATGGACCCCACCCAAATCATCTGCAGAAAGGCATAGATAAAAGAAAGATGGGGGACCTTTTAACTCGGGATCATAGCAGAAGATGTGCTACTTTCACCTGTGTTCTAACTCCAGACTGGCACAAATTCATGAAGAGGTCCCCTTCATGAAGTGTGACTTCTTCCATCAGCATGGCAAACAGGGAGTTCTCCAGGGAGTCTATGCACTGCTGGATGAGTGGAGAGATTCTAGCCTGGATGGCAGCACACACAAGTGGAAAATGCATAGGGGACTCCTGCTGCAGGAAGTCATGTGCAAGCAAGAGCAGTTCTCATCAAAAGCTGAGGGCTCCATCCTCCACGTTCACCCTTTCAGCTGTTCTTTTGGCCTTTTATCAGCAGTGTGGAAAGAAACTCATGCTGATAAAGTCAGCAGATGACCCCAAGATTGAAGGAGCGGAAATCAGCAGGAAGGCTGGGCCAGGAGTACAGCTCAGTTCAGAGGAGTGCAGGTTTGCATGTTCAGCACAAAGATCACGCTCCCAAATGGTCTGGGCTGCTGCTCCCTGTGAAGAACCGGAATCCAAAGGGTCATTGTGGATCCTTGCACATCACCCTCATTTTGCTCTTGCTTCAGGATGAGCCTCCAGCTAATGTGTCTGCTCAGGACAGAACTGGTGGAGTGTTCCTGAAAGATTTGAGAATGGAGAAATTTGCCTTTTCAAGAGACCTAAGTAGCTTCTCAAAGAGTTGGCAGCATGTGAGGAATCTCAGAACAGAGATTCCTGACAGGAATGAGCTCTTTGCACGGGAGATCTGTGGAGAGCAGGGGATTGGTGGGAGGCAAACACTTTTAATGGCAGGAAGGCTCAAGGCAGATGAGCAGCTGGGACAGGTTGACACACTCACCCATGGGGTGCCAGGTCCTCTGGACCAGCAAAATATTGGAGGCTCTTCCTAATGCCCCCTATGCAAGCACATCAGGTATTGCCTAAAAGACAGTGCTGATTATTTTGTCAAGAGCTGTTCCAGTGAGGCAAAACCTTGTTCCTTGCTTGTCCTAGCGTCTGGTTTGTTTGGTCATTCCATGGCAGAATGGGCTTGGGTATCTGTGAGGTATGTTGCATACAGAGAGGGGGACCAGCTCTGGGAAGCTGCCTGAGATGTGTACCAGCTACGTCTCAGCCCTTCCAGCCCTCCCATTCACTTCTGCCTCCGAACTCCTCCCCACTGCAGATCACCATGCACCTCAGACACCGCTCCCACCTCACAGTAAGTCAGAGTAGGGTCCCATCCCCAGAGGAGCCTGGGGATAGGTTCTTGGGTCCCCTGCCCTCCATGGAATTTGCTCAGCAGAGCACAGCTGGCTGGCACAAATCCAGCACCATGTCCTCCTCAAAGCTGCTGCCACCAGACTTGAGGTTTGTAGTCCCCAGCTCCATGGCTGGGGGCGAGTGAGAGTTCCGTCGGCTGGGCACCAACACAAGTCAGAGTTCCTGTTGTACAGCTATCTGCACAGACGCAGGCTGAGCTTTATCTTGGTACTTCTCCTTTGCTGCCATTTCATTTCAGGTGTTCTTTCTTCACAATGAAGTGAGGCAGGGTCGGGACACCCAATCCCGCAATATTTCTCATCTCTTTCCTCCAGATAAAAGCTACGACCTACTTGCAACTGCCTGATAGCTGCTGAATCCTGAGTTTGGAAGGACCAGGGGAGGCATGGGTGGCAGCTGCAGCACTGTGGACCCCCTACAAAATCTATGGCCAGAGCAGGTGTTGATGGATGCTCATACAAGTCACCTTAGCAGCAGAAGCCCTGGAACTCTCCAGAGGTCAACAGGAAAGCAAAAGCACCTGGGGGCCAGAGGGAGGAATTTGTTTGCAGTCAGGGATGCCAGAGAGAACAGGACAGCAGCAGCCTGAAGCCCAGTTCCCTGGGCCAGTGGCCTGCCTAGTCCCTCCTTCCCTGGGACTGCTGGTCTCAGGGTAGTGTCTGGTCCCAGATCGTAGGGGGCCACAAGCAGCTGCAAGGAAAAAGACAGCAAGTTACAAGTGCAAGATAAAACATCGATGGTTTCTGTTGAGGTTTTCCTGCTGTGGTGCTGCACAGTCCTGATTAAAACTTGTATTTTCCGATATTATTATTAAAAAGAAAAAAGTAGGCAAAACTTTACTGAGAGCTCTGCCTGGTGGGCCCTGTCAGGCAGCCCCCCAGGCTGGCTCATGAACAGCTGGCATCCTCACCTATGTCCTGCATCCCCACCTCCCCACCCACCCATCCTGTCCCCGTTGCGTGGCCCTAGCACAGCACAGCCCAACATTAGACAAGGCATCCACTTGCCTGCAGGTGTTTTTCTGCTCCAGGAAGGGTGGAGTTGTGCTGGTTTAAAAATGACTGATCACTCCTGGCAGTTGGGTGGTTGCATTTCCTTACTTTGGTCTCTTCTGCTGTGTAGCAGCAGGCAGTCCTCTTTAAAGAGGCTCAATATAGTCCTCAACCTGGCATGATGCTTCTGGACCCAGAGGAGCCAAGAAGAGTCAGCAAGGCCCCTCTAACTTGGGCTGACACCAAACACTGGAGACTCGGCCCTTAACAGTGCTCAAAGAAATGTCCCAAGCACAGTTGTTGTGTCTGGATGTCAGTTCATTTGAAAGCAGGTGTTGGTGATGGTGAGTCTCTGTAGGAAAAGAGTCTTTGAAGCGCATCTTTTGACTTGAAGGTAAACAAGAATATTGAAAGAAAAAGTTTCAGGATTCTATCTCCTCTAGACCACATTAATGACCTTAAATGGCAAAGTTTTGTTGATTGTTTTTTAAGTGGCTTTTCTTTAAAATCTTGCATTTCCTCAAGACAAGAACATTAAACAGAAACTGTGGGAGAAACATTAAATCACACCTAAAAAACACCCTAGAACAGGGTTAGCATCCCTGAGGCTTTGGGACAGTGGTGTACCAGGCTCTCTCTGCCCTGGCCTTTTTGTCTTATACTATCACTCATCAATCACAGCCACAGACCACAAGGGCACTGAGCAGACCAGGGCAGCAGTGATGCCCACAGACCTGCAGGGGTGCTGCCCTGCTCTGATTAGCACAATCAGCCCATTGCATATCGTTTCCTGGCTGCTGGGTACAGCTGGTTCCAGGGTATAAAACCAGCCCCTGGGCATGAGGAAACTCAGACTTCCATACATCTTGGAAGGAGTGTCCAGCTGTGGGAGAGATGTGCCAGCCTCAGCCACTGCTGGCCCTGCTGCTCCTGCTCTCCTGCCCATGGGCCAGTGCCAGTAAGCTGGGGCTCTGCAAGCTGTTGCGAGGCTGCTCGTCTGGGCTCTCATCTCAGGAGCCACTGGCTCATCCTGCAGTGGGGTGTCTTGCAGGTGCTCTACAGGATCAGATTGTGGGGGGCCATGAGGCGCAGCCCCACTCCCATCCTTACATGGCATACCTGAAGGTAGGGACGCTTGCCTGTGGGGGCTTCCTGGTGGCCCCTGACTGGGTGATGACAGCCGCACACTGCATGGGGTGAGTACTTCATACGGGGGCTTTATCCCCTTCTTTCTCACCTAACCTATGATGCCCTTCACTGGAGCATTTTTGGAGTAGGTTCCTCTTCCTCCTGTTCGGTGCAGCTCTCTCCACCTGCTGCCAAAGGGGAGGGAGCTGGGTGACACCCAACCTTATTCCCCCCTCTACACTCTACTGTGGCTAGGAATATCACAGTCATTCTGGGAGCTCACGACATCCACAAACCAGAAACAACCCAGCAGGTCCGGGGAGTTCTCAGATACCACATGCATCCTGAATACGACCCTGACACCGTGTCTAATGACATCATGCTGCTCAAGGCAAGGCAGTTCTGCAGTGGGCAGTGGGGCAGAAGGTGGGATGGGGCTGTGGGTCTGGCAAGGTCCACCTCGGCAAAGCTGTTTCTGCTCAAACTCCTGGAGGCAGGCAAGACTGGGAGGGATCTGGGAGGGAACCACAGGCAGGGCTTGGAGACATGTGCCATGTTCACAGGAGCTCATCAGAGCTTACAGCGGCACATGTCCTGCTAGACCTCTCCTTCCTCTGTGCAGAAAGCATCTTTCAGCTCTTCTACTCATAACCTTCTCCAAAACCCTGCTTTTTCCCAGCTGACATCAAAGGCCACTCTCAATGACTATGTCAAGACCATTCCACTGCCTAAGACCAGCAGTGACCTCCCCACAGGCACTAAGTGCAGCATCGCCGGCTGGGGTCTGATTGACAATGACCAGGCGACCAACAAGCTCTTTGAAACCAAAGTCTCCATCTACAGCCGCAGGAAATGCATCCTCTTCTATCCGCATCTTGACACTGGCATGGTCTGCGCCGGCAGCTTCCATGAGCTGAAGGATTCCAGCCAGGTAAGGGCTGCCAGCAGGCTGGGATTTGGCTCTCTGAGAGCAGATGCTGCTGCTGCCACAGATGGAGCTGGTTCCCAGGGCAGGCAACAAGTATTTTATCTGTAGCTCCCATATGGACCAGCTCTCTGAACACCTTGACATCACAGTCCCTGCACAGTACCAGAGGCAGAGGTCCAACTCACCAGCTTGGGGCAGCTCCTCCAGCTGGGTGGGCATGTGGGGCAGCAGCAGAGCCACAGCCCCCCTAGGCAGGGAGGGACCAGGGGAAAATCTATTCCCACAGGGAAGAGGCCTCTAAAATCAGTCTCATCTGTCCACAGGGAGATTCTGGTGGGCCCCTGGTATGCAATAAAGTGGCACAAGGCATTGTTTCCTTTGGGTACGAGGCCCCACCTGGGGTCTACACCCGCATCTCCAACTACCTGCCCTGGATCAAAAAAGTCATGAAGAAGTAGCAGCAGCCACGGCACTTGCTCCATCTCTGATGTGGCCCTAGAGATTGCAATGGCTTCCTTCCTGTCCCTGCTGAAGGCTCAACTCCCTCCTCTCCTTGGGAACCCAAGTGACTTGGTGCACACGAGGGTCCCCTTCATTCTGTTCTGAGGCTGCTGGCTGTCCCATTCCCTGCCTATCTCAGGCAGCCACTTCAGGGCCATGTTAAACACCCTGACAGAGGCAGGGATAGTCCCTAATGGGACAGAAAGAGGCTGTGCCACAACAGACCCCATTTCCTTCAGAGACAACACTGTCCCTTCTTGAACCTCGCTGCACTTAAAACATCCACAGTAAACTCAGAGCTGCATTTCCCAGTGTGTGTTGTCTTTCTTGTGGCCTTGCCATAGAGAGAAGGAGGGAGGGTCTGGCAACTGCAAGCGAGAGGCCAGACTTTTGGGGCAGCAGCAGTCATGGCTCTGCATCCTGAATCTCTGGCAAGCTCAGAAACAAGAGCTGTGATTGCCCTTCCTGGGGTCATGGGGATGATGAGAGTTTTGCAAGGATCAAAAAAACCCAGTTAGAAGTAGGGTGGGAAAAGTGATGGGCGAACACTCAATTTACTGACTTCAGCATCATTATCACCTTCCTGGAAGCAGCTGACAGCTGACAGGACGTGATGCATCAGCAGGTACCAGGACTCAAAAGCTGTCATTGTCTGCAGAGTAAAGGCTATCCCCTCTGCAGGGGCCTTATAGTTGGGAGATGTTGTACCCTAGGACAGAGAACAGCCAAAACAGCAGGCTTTAGGATGCTTCACTGGACTTTTTGTGGATGGTGGCCTTGGCATAGGGAAAGGTACCTGTTGAGATGCCAGGGGCAGAGTTTTAGGATCCCAGAGAGGAGGCAAGGGGGGAGTCCTGTCTGAGGGCTGTCTGCTGTGAAGTTGGCTGGCATGTTTCTGTCCCTCTTGGCACAGTTTGTTCCAGTGGTGGCCCAAACCCAAAGGCTTACAGCTCTCCCTCAGCCGGATGATGATCAGAGACAAGCTTCCCCCACAAAGGATGCTGGAGTATTGTTTTCAGACAACTCCTGCACTGGAGTCTGTACCTCTTTCCATGGTCTGCACCAGAAGAAAAACAACCTGCCCTCTGAGCAATCATCTCCTTTGCTCTAGTAAGTTTCTGGTAGCATCTCTTGTATACAGAGAGGGCTAGAGCTTCCTGGAGGAGATGATGAGGGACAGAGACGATGCATTGGTAAATAACTGAGCTGCTGAGCATTCTGGCACAGAATGACAGACGTTTGTGCAAATTCAAGAGGAGACTAAGCTGGTTTGTGGTGGGGAAAACCAGTGGGGAATTTTAAACATGTAGAAAGCGTGTGCAATCCAAAGGAAGAGGGTGCTTGCCCTGCTCTCATGGTTTTTCGAAGTCTCCCACTAGTCAGTTCCATCAGAGGGAGGAAATGGCCTACAGTCTGCCCTGATGTCTGCTCATATGTCCTCCATGTTTCTGCCTAGGATGAAGGGAAACTATGTCACCTTTGCCTTCTCCAACCAGGCTGCCCCGGGGAAACTGAGAAAGTTCCATGTTTGGGCTTTTGCTCACAGCTGCTATCAGCTAGGAAATCTGCAAGTGAACAGGCTACAGCTGCTTATCTCTGCAGTATGAATCTTTGTCACGTCAGGGTTTTCCTCGAAGCTCCAGCCCTTGCAATCTTTGCACGAGAATAGGAACCTTTAAGCTTAAAATTGGGGTTTACGCTGTGGAACTGGAGGCAGAGAGGAAAGCAAATTTACTGTCAGTTAGCAAGAGCAGCAAGGAAGTGTCAGCCCCATTTCGTCACAGCTGAACTGTGAATGTTCAAACTTTGCCCTTATCATAGAATCACAGAATGGTTTGAGTTGGAAGGGCCCTTAGGGGTCATATCATTCCATGCCCCTGTCATGGACAGAGACATCTTCCACTAGACCAGGTTGCTCTACGCCCCATCCAACCTGGTCTGGAACACTTCCAGGGATGGGGCAGCCACAGCTTCTCAGGGCAACCTGGGCCAGGGCCTCACCGCCCTCACAATCAAGAATTTCTTCCTAATATCAGTGCAG